TAAGGCAGGGCTTCTTCATTTGAGCTCCATGGACCTCCAAGTGGTGGGTGGAGAGAATTTGGAGCCAGGTAGGGTTCTATGAACTTAGATGAGAAAATTATTTGACCTTTTCCCCACCAACCACAAACAGAAACTCAGCCATTCCTTGATTTAGGAATGTAGGCAACAAACCACAATCATATTATCAGTATCTGTGATGTTTATCATCAGCAGAAATCATAAATATTTTCATCTCACATTACAGTTTTGGTATTTCCAGAAATCACTTACGCTTATCACTACTTCAAAGTTTCTGTTCTGTAGACTTGCCGCTACCTACATCTTGTGATGCAATGCATTGTGCAAGTAGCAATATAATTAGAATAATTAGACCACAACATTTTTCTAGTATTTTTTGACCATTTCAATATGATTTTCTTTAGTGCAGAAATCTGTTTAGAAATCCATGCATATGAGGGGTCTTCAAAAAGCTCACAGAAAATTCTCAGTGGGAAGTCAGAAGGGCAGGCTTGTTTGGGGAGTGGAAGCAGTTTGTGGAGGAAGTGGCCTTTGAGCTGAGAAGATTGCCAGTGGGATTGGAGTCAGGTTTGTGAATTTATAAGACAGAGGGACATGCAAAGGCCCAGGGGCATGAAAGAGCTGGATATGGTAAGGAGAAGATGGAAACAATCCAGGCTGTCTGGAGTTTGGACTAAATGGAAGAGAGAAGGAGCATGGCATGGCCAGATGAGATAGCATAGGTAGTTTATGCCCAGATAGTAAAGAATAGCAAAGTCAGGGTCACAGGCTTCCAGTGAGGAAGGAGAGCCACTGAGAAATTTTGTATAGGAGCATCGAGACCAGATCTGTGAGTTCAAAGGACCATGATCCCCACCCCTGCAGGCACGTAGAAGGTGGATTGATTAGAAGGGGTAGAGAGCTGATTAGCAGGGTTGATAGGACCACTTGGGTAGTTCAGAAGAGAAATGAGGAAAGGCTGAACTGAGAGGAGAGTCTGGAACTTCTAGACACTGTGTGCCTGCCCCATGCATCAGCCAGCCTCATCTCTACATGCAAAGTGGTGAGAAAGCCTGGGCTTGCTGAGCAGGGCAGGGGGAATACCTGCCCTCCTCGGGTTTGGTTGTATTGGGGTTATATACAGCAAGGCTTACTCAGGCCAGTGCACCACGAAGTCCCATCTTCCACTTTAGCCTGTTTCTCACAGCAAGAGCAGAATAGAAAAGCCAGGGCTCCACTTTCTAACACCCACCCCTTATTGAAAGAGCTGCTGAGATGAGGGGCTCTAGCTCTCCCCTCCGTGTGGCAGGCAAGAAGGCGAGAGGGGGTGCGGGGAGCAGGTCAGGGCCTGCTTTCTGTCAAAGGAAATACCCACCCTCCTAAGCCTTTAAGAGACTGTTTTCTTCCAAGTAGGTCCCACTGTTACCAGGGCAACTGAGAGCCCTGGGCTTTGTGTTTCTAGCTCTAGTGGAGTCCCTGGGGAGGAGTAGCCTGCTGAGCTTTCCTTGTCTGGACAGGAGCCAGGAAGTGCTAGCTGGGGGTGGAGTCCTACCCCCACCACATTTGGGGGTAGTCTCTCACCTTGTTAAAGCCTATCTTTATCGGCGCTGGCACACCGGGTTCTAGTCCCGGTCGGGGCGCCGGATTCTCTCCCGGTTGCCCCCCTTCCAGGCCAGCTCTCTGCTGTGGCCAGGGAGTGCAGTGGAGGATGGCCCAAGTGCTTGGGCCCTGTACCCCATGGGAGACCAGGAGAAGTACCTGGCTCCTGCCATCGGATCCGCGCGGTGCGCTGGCTGCAGCGCGCCGGCCGTGGCAGCCATTGGAGGGTGAACCAACGGCAAAGGAAGACCTTTCTCTCTGTCTCTCTCACTGTCCACTCTGCCTGTCAAAAAAAAAGCCTGTCTTTATGCCCTGGAGGAGCCAACCCCCCCCCCCCCGCCGCCGCTGTCGCCTCCCTGCCATGAGCCAGTTGTGGTGGTCAGGTGGTCAACTTGGTAGCTTTTTGGCTCTAATGGACCTGGTTTTTCAGAACCAGATTTCTTTTTTTATTATTTGAAAGGTAGAAAGAGATCTTCCATATTCTGGTTCACTCCCCAAATGCCTGCAATTGCCAGGACTGGGCCAGGCCAAAGCAGGAACCTGGAATTCAATCTAGGTCTCCCACGTGGGTGGCAGACTCAAGTACTTAAGCCATCATTTGCTGCCTCATAGGTTTGTGCATAAAAAAACTGGCATCAGGATCAGCCCCAACTTGAACCCAGGCACTCTTGATATGGGATGTGGGCAGCCCAAACAGTATCTTAACCACTGAGCCAAATGTCTACCCCTTAGGGCCATTCTTATACACCCACCCTGCAGCATTTCTCTTTGGAGACTTGTCAGAGGCTAGCTGAGGCAGGTGATCACAAAGGGTAAAAGCTAGCTCACAGCAGCCCGAGGTACGTGCTGGGGGAATTCTTGCACAAGTATTTCTTAATCACTTGCTATGTGCTGAAACTGAAGGGAGGAGATGAGACAGTATAGGTAGTGTATGAGCAGATAGTGAAGCATACCAGAATCAGGTCCACAAGTCATGTGAGCCAGCTCCTGCTGCTGGGAGCTCTGTAGGAACTTTCAGAACCAAACCCACCGTTAAATGTCACCTGGGCTGCTGAGTCCCCAGTGCTGTATTCTGCACTGAGCTAGCTGGGTCTTAGAATTGCCTGGAAAGCTTTTTAGAAATAGAAACTCCTAGAAATTCTGTTTCCACCAGCATGGGTTTGGGTGCAGGGTAGAGGTTAAGAGCAGAGGTTCTGAATGGCACGGTCAAACTTGGTCAGCTGTGCCAGTTGCCCAACCTCTCAGACAGCAGTGCCTTGATTCACAGAATGAATGAGGGGAACAGCTGAGCCTGCATCACAGGCAGAAACTCTTTGCCCTCTGCCTTTCTCCATTCCTCAGGAAGAGACTGTTGACCATCCTGTGTCTTTTGTAGTGCCCCCCCTTCTTCCTTTCTGTTATTCTGCTGTTTCCTTGTCCCTGGCATGTAAGAGGGCTTCTATGATGTGCAACCTGGTCCCCTCCCATGGGGCAGCTAGGACCCCACATATAGGGTGTGCCCAGGAAGGCATTAGCACCTCCAACAGCCCTGCCAGTCTGTTGACTCACAGGAGCCCCCATCGACCCACATGCTCAGATTTTCATTTTCACAAGTTCCTTCTAAGCTAGATTTGTCCCACGCAGGCTTCTACAGTTTGTTTTCTGAACTTGATGCAAGATTTCACACGTGCCCCTAGTAAATGTCATTCTAGTATATTGCTCCAGGTTAGGGAGTTTGTTGTGACGTTTTTATTCCATTTTGGAAGGGATCTTCTAGTCCTGCAAGCTTCACGCCATGTGCAGATGCCTAGCAGGCTACCTCTAGGTCTCCATCCAGTGACCCAGTGACTCACTTCTGTTATGAACCAAACTAGGGTTGAGATCCTATTGTGTAGCAAACCACCTGCTGCACTCTGGGAGTCAGTGGTGGCTAGACAGACAGGGAGTTGTGGCTTGACTTAGCATGAGACTCGTGCAAGATCCCAAACCAGTCAATGGTAGAGCTGGATTGGAATCCAAGGCTCTTTATTCTCATAGCACTTCCAGCTGGGGGGTTGCCAAGGCTGATCCGTTTTTGTTACTTTCCCCCATCTGCTGTGACTAGCCATTACGCTATGTGGATTCACCCATTCCTACCTGTGCTGTCATGAGAAATCCCAGGGATGCTAGAGACTTTGTCCAGTCCCTTGAAACGTAACAGGGAACCACAGTGCTCACTGATGCAACACGCATCCCAGAGCCTTGTCCCGCCTCAGAAGGCACATACTCAGCCAGCCACACAGTGACACTGCTACTGCTGAGTACCCACTGCCTTGCGAGCAGGCCCTTCCCTCTGGTTCCCCCAGACCGTCCATAGACAGAGCACCTGAGGCATATTTGTTGCTTTGCCAAAGACCCAGAGTCCAGTGAGGTTAGGCTTGAGCTTGTCAGGGACCCTTCCTTGTAGATAGCATAGGCGTTAGAGTCAAGAGAGTATGTGTTCAGGAGTCACAAAACCCTGGAGTCCCCCGTAGAACCTAGTCTCTCTAAGACTCAGGTGTAAACAGAGACACCAACACCAACACCAGGGGACTCCTGCAAGGCAAGGGAGATAGCAGGACAGGACAGACCAGGAGCTCAGCCTGGTCTTCACACGAGGGGGAGCAGAGAGGGGCTAAGTGGTCCCAGAGCTGATAGCTTATGGAGCCTCTCACTAGCCGTCAACTTGGGCCACTGAGTTCTCTTGTAAGCCTCAGTGTGCTCATCTTGAAGGTGAGGATAGGAATATTACCTGACTGTGCCTTGCGCCGCGCCGCCTCCCCCGCCCCCAGGGTTGTTATCAGGATGAAATAAGATCCCAGACAGAAAATGCCCGGTACAGCACTCTTGACTAATAGGGGCTCAATGAACCTTCCTAGCCACCTGCCCAGGGGGGAATATGGGCCAGTTCTTTGCCAGCCAACTTGGACACCCCCTAGAATGGGCTTCAGTGTGACCCCACAGACTGTGAGGAGGGGCGAGAGATCCCTGGGAGGACCTCTAATTCACTTCTCTGGGGATTTGTATCAAAGGCCTCACCAGCAAGCTCACTGGCGTCCCATAGCGCCATCTAGTGCTAGAAAGTGGAAGGCTCCTCCCACCCCATGCTGCAGGTCCGCCTCCCTCCCTCCCTGCACTCAAGGTCCTGAGAGTGTGTGTGTATAACCAACACGATTCTTCAAGACACGCAGGGCTTCCACTTCCCTCCTCACAATGTCTGCCATCCACAAGTGCACAAGGCTATAAGCAGGCCCCTTTAGCTTCCCTCGGCCTTACCTTCCCCATCTAAGGATTTCATGGTTTCAGGCTAAGGCTTATTCAGGCAAGTACCTACCTAGAACTACCTGGTGCCTGATGCCGGCTGGGTTCCTATCTATGCTTGCTCAAGAACACAGAGAGACACAACCTTTACACACCCTTTGTATCTTTATTGAGGAGAGAAAGCTTCAGCATACAGAGCAGTTTCTTATCTTCACAGCACAGTAATGTAACAATATAACACAATAACACATTTATTTCAAACCCGTTTCCTCCCGGGCTGCTGGGAGTCCTTAGGCTGCCTTCATCCCCTTGCATGCATTTCCCACCCCCACCCCCACCCCTCTTTCAACCCAGGAAAGCTCCCAAAGCCCATAGTTCTTCTTACAGCTCCTGTGGCTGTTACAACACAACAAATATTGAAGATTGGGGAAAGCGGGGAAGAGGGTCAAAGGGAAGCCTAAGTGCCCCCTGCCCCAGAGGGCTGGAAACCAGCTCACTGCACGTCGGCTCTTTCTCCAGCTGAGGCCACAAGGGTCCAGGGTGAGAAGCACCATGGGAACAGGCAGGGCCTGTGCTGACGGGTCCCTGGAAATGGGGTGCAAGGCACCTGCCCTTTGCAGTTCTCCACGGGGACACGGGCCACAGGGTCAGCGTGTCGACCATCAGCAATCAGGATCCACAGCCTCGAAGAATAGCAGCTCCCCTTCGTGGAACTTTCTCCTGGGGAAATAATTAGAAAACCAGATAAAATTTTCTTTACAAGCTTGTTTACTCTCGCCCTGGTAGGGATGGGGAATAGCATTTGATGAAATGTCCAACAAACGAGGAGAATGCTGAAATAAATTGTTTGGTATGCATGACTGCCTAGGTGGCAGCCATTTTAAATCCTGCTGATCAAGAGCTAGCAGGGACAATCTCAGCTTTGAAAAGACGCAGCGAGAATGCACTAGAAAGAAAGGTAGCAAAGTGTTAATAATGCTTGGATTTGGAGCGTGCGTCTGGGGTTTGTTGTTGTTCTTGGTTTCTGTATCTTCCAAATTTTTTTATAATGATTGTGTGCTGCTTAGCTCGTTGAGGGATCATCTGAAAAGTAGCAACAGGTTATAGGAACCCAACTCCACTGATTCCCCAGGCTGCTGAACAAAAGGGATAAACAAAAGGGCATCTTACCTTGCACTGATGAACAGAGACCTCACCAGAAACCAGCCTAAGGACTGGGTCTGTCTGTGACTCCTCTTCCTCCAGCTTCTTCCTCTTGCTTGAGGCCCCAAATCCTCAGGCTGGGCTGAGGTTACCTGTCAGACTCTGGTGAGGAACACAAGCTTTACTACATTTTCCTCCCTCTGGCCACAGACGCTTTGGCGGTGCGTGCCCAGCTGCCAGGCATTGTGCAGAAAGATCAGTGTCCAGAGGCAGCTTGGGCCAGCAGTGAACTTGGCTGGCCTTTCGTGGCCACAGCTGACATAGTAAATGTGTATTTTTTTTCACTGCAGAAACAGTGCGTTCTGGACCCAAGGCAAGTAACGGGTCCCTTTATTAGGAGACCTGAGTTTGCACCCAGGGACCCCAGCAGTGTCTAGGAGGCAGTCCCCCTCTGACACACAGCAGTGGGCCAGGGGCTGATTTCCATGTGAGCGACGTTGAAGGCTGCAAATGCTATAGGCACAGTCTCTGTGAAGCCAACCTTCCTCTCTCCTCTCAGAACTAAGGAGTCCTTGAAGTCAAAAGGAGTTCAAGAGCAGGCCTTGGGCCCGCCCTCTTTGGCTGTCCCAGAAGGAATGGCCAGTGAGGCCTCTTCTGTAAGCCCAAGGATGGAAAGTCTCCTGCAAAAGACTTTCGGCTGAGGGCTGCAGGCCAAGGCCTGGTGGGAGAAATCCCCGTCTCTAAGGAGTCACTCCTTACAATGCCAAACTGGATTGTTGCTGCTGCTTCCTCCTCCTCCCCCTCCTCCCTCCAGCCCTCCAACTGCCTACCCTTTAGGCAACACCAAGGAAATGGGTAGAGTTTGCCATGTGGGGCTCCGGTCACCAGCAGTGTGGTGAGGGCGGGCCCCAGATTTGGCAAGTTGGTCCTGACACAGCAGTCTGAGGGAAGGTAAATTCAAATGCCGCAAGTGAAAGCAGCTTGCACAGTCAAGGACAAGTCTGAGTCTCAGTCAATTTGCCCATCTGACATGTGGCTATAGCACACGCTCACTAGGCTAGATGGAGAGTCCTCTTTCAGGCCCTTCTACTGGAGGTGTGGCATGAAACAGGTGTAGGCTTCTGCTCCATGTCAATTCTATCTGGTATTTGGCCTCAGTGGCTTTAGGAGTTCGGTGTAGCCTGTTCTTTTGATCACTGGGGCAGATCAGGGAGGCACTGGGAAAAGTCCTGGTGAGCCAGCGAGAGGGTAAAATCGTAGAACACAAGGTGAGTAACTGCAGAAGAGGTGAGGGTTAGGAGTAACTAGAGGCACAATACAGGGAGGTGACCAGTTCAGTTATGGGAAGAGGCCCAGAACCCTGCTCGCCAGTGGTGGGGCTGAGCCTCCTCTCTCCGCTGCCCTTGGCTAGGCACACGAGACTCTCTGGTCACGGTGTGGCACAGTGGGCTGCAGTTCTACAGGTGGTCTTCAGGCTCTGCAGGTCTGGATTTCCCTTAAGAACTGGTCAGCAGATGGGGCAGGTGTGGCAGCAATAGCGAGGGTGGGGGGTGCTGTAGAAGGGTGTGTTCTGGGTGGCCGTTTGGCCCCAACACTCACACGCGAATTCGGCCACGAGCCGCTCGGTGGCCCCCCTGTCTTGGAGTGAGGCGGAATAGCACCGGAGGACGTCTTCGCGTCTGGCGCTGCCCCAAGCGACCGGCACGGCGAATCAGTGGCGGCGAGCTGTAGAACGGTGAATTGGTACCTGGAAGGCCTTCCAGCAGTGGGACTCGATTCTGGCTCCTCCGTCTGCCGGGCTGTACTATGGGAGGGGATGCGCCCAGGAAGTTTTCAGCGTGGAAGCCAATGGCGGAGTTGGGAGTCTGAGTTGAAGTGTGGACAAGGACAGGCTCCATCTCCATCAGCTCCTCCAGGTCATCGTCCTGGGACTCCTCCTCCACCTCATCAGGGATCTCCTCGGCCTCTGGCTCCTGCTCTGGCTCCTCCTGGGCATCCTCATTCTTCTTCATCTCCTCTATCTTCTGCAGCTCCTCCTCATCCAACTCCACCACCTCCACCTCCTGATCCTCATCGTCATCCTCCAGGATGACGGTTCTGCTCATTTCTTCCTCCTTCTTCCTCATCTCCTCCTCTAGCCTCTCCCTCATCTCTTGTGTCATAGCCCTCATACGCCTCTGGTGGCTCCTCAGGTAAAGCCTGCGCCTGCGTAAGGCTTCCTCCTCACTCGCATGCTCGTCGTCGCTATCGGCCTCATTGTGAGCATACGGGGTAGCGTTGTTGTGAACGGCAGAGAGGGAGATGGGCCTGAGGCTCCGCACCTTCCTTTCTATCTCCATACACTCAAGAATCAGCTCATCCAGGTCGGCCATTTCAGTGGACCATAAGAGCTCCTTTCGGAAGAATTCCGACAGGCCTCTGAGGAACTGATTTTGGAGGCGACAGTCATCCCAAGACAAGAACTGGGCCAGGAACCGAAAAGCATCTGCATAGCTGCGGAGGGTACAGTCGCCCTGCTTGAGCTTGCGGATAGCCTTTTTAGCCACACGTAGGGGGATGGGGCCGCAAAATTCCTTACGGACTTCATCCAGGAAGCGCCGGAAGTTGGCACGGAGGGGGCTTCCTTCCTGGGTGACTGCGATGGCCCAGTCCTTGGCTTGGCCAGTGAAAAAGGAGATCACAAAAGCAACCCGATCCGTGCCCCCGGCAAACTGATCCTCATGGTTAGCTATGTAGCTCTCTAACTGCATCAGGAATTCTGCCAGGTGGACCGGGTCTCCCGCAAAGGGCTCTACCTCGGGCCGTTCCTGCTGTGGCACAGAGGACTGTGGAGGCGGCTCCTTGGACGAGGGAGGGGGCAGCGCTGGCAGGGGCGGGATGGGTAGCACCGGGGAATCGGTGGGCCCATCAGGGGTGCTGCAATCCTGGATCACGTTAATCAGAAGATCATCCGAGACATACTCGGACTCAGGGCGTGCGGGAGGCCAGCACAGGAAAGGCAGATCCCCCTCGGGACTGGCGTCGATGTCACCGAGCGGGAAGTCAAAGTTCTCCTCGGAAAGGAGAGGCATTGGCCAGCGGATGTAGCTCGAGACATTGCCCCGCAAGGAATTAACCTCGGCCAGGGCTCTCCCGAGCTGCAGGCCCAAATTGGCGTTCTCACCGCGGAGGGCATTTAATTCTTCTCGCAGAGCTACATTCGCCATGCGGAGGCTGTTGAGATTTCCAGGCGCCTCGGACATTCCCGACTAGCTCGGAGGCTTGGGGTCTCCCGGCCGGAGCAGGGAGTGGGGGGGTGGCACGGGGAGCTCGGGCCGCGGCAGGAGGCTGAAATGCGGGGCGCGCGGGAGCGGACCGAAGTGCGGAGACCGGGCGCGGGAAAGGCCGGGCCACACCCACCGGGGCGAGCACGGAGAGCGGGCGCTCGGGGCGGAGGGCACGCTGGCTGGGCCCGGGGCGCGTTACCTCGTCGCGGGCACCGGAGACGGCGGGCGGCGGCGCGGGGCCGAAAGGCTCCAAGCGCAAGGCAGGACGCGAGCGACGCTGTGGCTGCCGGGCGGGTGGGTGGAGGCGGCTGGAGCAAGAGCGACCGAACTGCGGCAGGATCTGTCGAGGAAAAATCTTGCGGACGGCGAGTCCCCGCCTTTTAAATGCAGCCTCTCCCCACCACCAGCAACCCCCACCCCCGCAGGGGCGGGACTTAAGGAACAGCGGGCGTCCACTGGCCGCGGCGCCTCGCTCCCCCCACCTTGGCTGCGCCTCTCACTGACTCTCTCCTTCCCTAGCTGCAGCTAACTCGGGTCGGGAAAATGCGACAGCGACTGCCCACTCGAGGTCGTCATGGCGACAGCCAGTGAACGTGTTCCTCTCCTCGGGCAGGCCCCCGAGCGTAGAGGAGCTGCTTCGAGAGGCGCAGCTCAATCTCCAGAGCCTGTTGCAAGGTACTGAGAGGGAGGGGGGCTGCGGCCGGAGCACAGAGGCGAGATGCGCAGCGGCAGGAGGGAGGCACGGAAGAAGGAGGACAGGGACCAGCAGGAGAAAAAGAGCAGTTCAAAGCCTGTGCACAAACAAAGCACACATTTTCCAGCTTTCTTCTCCATCCAGACTAACAGTTCTAAAAGCCTCTATTCCCAAGACTGTCACCCACCCTGGCTTCCTGTTCCATAATCCATGGGGGGAGGGGGTGACAACAGGCTGAGGCAGGGCAGTAGGTCAAGCCATTCGCAAAAAGAGCTTGATGGGAGACTCCCGCGAAGTGGGTCCACATTCCCTCCAGCCCTGCTCTAGCCACATGGTCCATGCCTTTGGAATCCTAGCACCGACAGACAAAAGGGGCATCTCTCGAGCCTCCCACTGTCAGCTTCACACACTCTGCTCCTGCAGTAACCTCGTCCGGATGCCTCTTGGGTAGCTACTGCCCCAACCAAGTACACAGCGCTCAGAGTTTGCCCATTTTGCCTTCCTGCCCACACTGAGCTTCTCAATGTAAAGAATCACATCTGGGGGCCGGCGCTGTGGCGTGGCAGATAAAGCTGCCGCCTGCAGTGCCCAGTGCCCCATACGGATGGTTCGAGTCCTGGCAGCTCCACTTCTGATCCAGCTCCCTGCTAATGGCCTGGAAAAGCAGTGGAAGATGGCCCAAGTGCTTGGGTCCCTGAGCTCATGGGAAACACCTGGATGAAGTTCCAGCCTCCTGGCTTTGGACTGGCTTAGCCTCTGCCGTTGTGGCCATTTGGGGAGTGAACCAGTGGATGGAAGCCCTCTCTTCCATTTCTCTTTATCTCTCTCTTTCTCCCTCTCCCTCTCCCTCTGTGTGTGTGTGTGTGTGTGTGTGTAAAACTCTGCATTTCAAAAAAAAAAAAAAGCATCTCCTACTACCCTTGGGTATCCAGAAGTGCCTGGCATGGGACTGAATCTCTTAGTAGGTATTCTCAGTGGATGTTAGATGTGAAAAGAGCTCTTGCCAGCTGCCATGTATCTATACCCACGAAGGTTAACTGTAATGGAGAATAGAAAAGTGCTGGTAAGCCACCCAACTAGACCACAGCCATAACTCCCACCTTTCTGCCAGGGCTGCGGTGACCCTAGAGAAGATGCCAAGGGACATGATTAGCCTTGTTCAGATAACAGAGGAGCTACCATGCAAAACAACGACAAAAAAAAGTCAATGTGCTCTGTGTTGCTACCTCGGGCAGAATTAGGACATGTGGGTGGAAAGCCAGAGCAAGATGGATTTTGCCTGCAGATAAGGAAGAACTTTGCTGGCAGGCCTGAAAGCCCCAAGTGTCCCTGGAAGGAATGAACTGCCTCAGGAGGGGGGGAGACTTTGCCCTCCCCGCAGGTGTGTTCACTGAGGCTGACGAAGCACCTGGAAGGGCTGCCGAGGAGGGAGTCTGAGCACAGAATGGGGCAGGAGAGGAGTTGGACCAGAGCAAGCCCCTGTTTCTATGATACTAGGAGTCTTTGCTCAAATGTATGTAGTCATGAATGTCTGTTCTTTATCCTCCATTTTTATTCATCTAATTCATCACTCCAAACCAACCTATTCAAATCCTGGGCATCCTTAGTCCCCGAAGATGCCTCTGAACTTCTACTTCTTTCTATGTTGCTAACTCCTCCTTCCCTCCCTTCCTTTCACCTTAGCCCTCCTGGACCTGACCCCAGGCACAGCAGGATTAAGGTATAGGGGACAAGGCCCACAAAAGCTCAAGTAAGAATTCTTGACATCCGAGGCAGAACTCCAGCCTGGACTTCCTGGTGCAACTCTCTTCTTGCTTCACACAGGCCATTTCCTTGGTGGGGTGACAGAGAGCCCGAAGAGCTGCAGAGCTTCAGAGAGGGTCTTACAGTATAAAATAGCCATCCTGAGCCTCTTCTCCCTGTTGAACACTTGAGGTCAGGGCTGTGGAGATAAAGGCTTGCTCCCCAAACTAGCACAGCTCACATCGATCGAGTTTCTTTCCTCCTCGGCCCTCATGAGCCTGCAAAGCAGAGCCTTTTCCATTGCTGAGTCCAGTGGCTCGGACATCAGGAAGCAGCCTAAAGAAACAGTGTGAGTCGGGTCTGGCAGCCAGTGCAAGGTCTTCCCCAAGTCCACCATTTGGCCGTGGCCCCCTAGAGTGTGTCTCCACTGTGCTATTTTTCAGAAGAATATGAGGAACAGTACTCAGAGGCCAGACTGCTGGGGCAGACCTTCCGCTCTTCTGATGAGGCCCCTGAGCCCACCCCCAGCCCAAGGCCCCAGTCTGCCAGGCGTCTGGAGTTTGTATTGATGGTGAGTTGCCTCTTCCCCGACCTGGGAGAGCCAGCATGCACCCACTGACAGGGGGCCTCGAGCTGCTTATAAATTACCTGCTGGAAGCCGCTGCTCACCTCTGCTTCCCCAGCAGAGCCTCCCTGAGGCCCCAGCAGGATGGGCCCTGCAACAGCAGGTGCCTGGCTGGGCAGCCAGTCCACGCTTGCCTGCCTCCCAGACAAAGCCTCCAAGCGCCCTGCCTAAACAGCCATTCTGTGGGCACGAGTTCACTGCCAGTTGTGAGCACACCCTGCCCATCACCTTCTTTCCCAACAGCCTACAAAACGGCAGCTGAGCGAGGATGAGACTACCACCCAGGGTGTGAGGGCCCCCGAGGCCGCCCTGAGCCTGTCTACCACAGCCGACAAGCAAACTGCCTGGAATGGCCCCTTCCCTCTGCCCATCCTAGAGGAGAAGCGGTGGCCTCAGCCCTGCTCCACGCACTCAGACCTTGTGCCCATCAACATCTCTGGTAGAGTTTGCTCAGCACCACCTGTTTGCTTCCCACCATGCCACTACAAACCATCCTCAGAAAGCACTAGGCGTTGGGGGAGGGGGGCCACTCTCTGCTACTGGCTCACCTTGCACTGTCACGGTCATGGCTCTCTCCCAGGAAATGGAGGAACGCAGAAGAGGGGGCTCTGGCTGTTCTTTCTTCACTCCCTAGGGGCACTGCTGCCCCGGGACCATTGGATAGCAATCAAACTTTTCTTAACAGAAAGCTCCAGAACGTTTTGAACTTGTGTGCTCTTTGGAGTGTATATGGGAACATAAAGTTTGTGACTTCTGTGTCGCTCGAGTGAAAACAACTTTTTGTGCCCAAAGCTGGTTTGGTGTACAGAGATAGGAATCAGAGAGGGCAGAGTGAGGTGAAGAGTACGAGAGGTCAAAGAGGAGGGTCTGTCACACCCAGGCACAAACCAAAGGCCATGTGGCACTTCCACTGGACACTGAGTCTTCTAGCAAAGTGGGCTTCCTCAACTTGTTTGGCAAGTTTTTCAAGAAGGGAAGCAGCAGAAAGGGACTAAGCCCCCACACACTCCCTGCCCCCCCCCAAAAAAAAAGACCAAGAAGGATGCAGTTCAGCCTTGAGAGTGGGGAAATGATGTCCGTAGCCCAGCTGGCTGTGACTCTGGGGCAGGTGGCACTGTATACCATGCCCATTATTAACTCGTGCTCTCCATTCCATCACCTGTAAGAGAAAAAGGAAGAGGGTCGGTCATTTCAGGAGCTAGGTCCAGGGACCTGATGAAATGCAGACATCAGGAACTCACAGGGACCAGAGGGATCATGAGAGCCAGCACCAGCCCATACTATGCTGGGGAAAGTTGATGAAGACAATGAGGACAGCTCTAGCCACATACGGTCATGACTCCCTGGATATGGGGTCATCCACTGTCATTGGCATCATCCTGGGAAATCTGAGGCAGGAAACTGCCACAGCCTAGGGAAATGTATCAAGTGTAAGGGCAGAGGAGGAGAGACTCACACAGTGATATGGGGTGCTGTTTGAAAACACCAATCTTACTATCAATGACGTTGCCCCTGAGTTTGGCCCATGGAGGCATTTTCTGGGGTTAGGGGTGGGAGGAATCTGCATGTGCATCCTTGTGCCTGGCAGGGGAGGATCTGGTTAGCCAGTTGCTGAATGAGACACAGGGAGAGGAACTACATGCCTGGCTCCACAGCCCTGCCTGACCATGACTCTGCCCCAGCAATGTCCCAGGAACCAAAGACTAACCCAGTACTTTAAGAAAATAGAGCTCAGTCACCATGCAGTGGCCAACTTTGGTAAAATATGATCCGGTAGCTGTGGAGGAGAATAGCAGGTGTGCATCCTGGATGGTGAGAGAGCGGGGCAGCTGTTGGCTTCTTGGAGACACTGCCTTCCGCGGCCCATATGAATTCAGGCTTTCTCTAGGCAAAGATCACAGTCCAGGAACATCTAGTATCAGCCCATCCTCCTGCGCCAGTGGTTCTCCCTTGGCTGTACCTCTGAACAGTCACCCAAGAAAGAACTCCTTCAAAACACTTCTGCCTGAGTCCTACTCTCAGGGATTTAAATGTCATGGGGCAGGGTCCTGGGATTAGAGTTTTTCAAAAGCTACCCAGTCTATTTCAATATGGAGCCAGAGTTGTGAACCACAGCCCCAATCCATGGAAGACTTACAGGTGACCTACGTATGACCTGTGAAACTTCAAGTGTGTGTCCAGGGCTAAATTGGGAGGGGTGGGGAAGCAGGGCCGCCTGCTTGGATGCTATTCATGCTCATCGCTACTGCCATCATCTTTTCTCTCTACCTCAGGCCAATTCCACTATGCTTTCAACAGAAACCACGATCACCCAAGTGTCTTTATTTTGGCTACAGGGCAGCAGTTTGATAAACACGCAAGTTTGCGACACTCGTTGTTTAACACAGAGACAGCCATCAACCCCAAGTCCACCCTGAGGCGGAGGCGGACCATTATTGGATTCTCTAACTTTTCCCAGCGAGACCAAGGTGACCCCACCAGAGCTGATCCCCCAGACCCTTCCCCTTGCCCACGCCCACCAGGCCTGCCACCCAGGTGGTATTGGGGTGATGGGAACTGAAATAATTCTGGGGAGGAAGGGCTTTGGCCCTCCTGAAAGAGCCAGTGTGGCAATTAAGGACAGCCAGGGGCCTCTGGTAAAGGGAGGCCACTGAATACGAAGAGAAGGTCTCCCAGACTAACAAATTCATTACATTTTTGTTTTCCCTTACAAATGTAACATAACCCTGTATGCCAAATTTAGGCAAATCTAAGGGAACTTTTAAAAATTTTGTGGAAAATTGAATTAAAAGGTAGCTTATTTTGGTGCAAAAAATGTTTGATATCCATGTACAGTTTTTTTCATATTATGAATTTCCCATTAACTGTTTAAAGAACCCTCTGTGCATGCATTTCAGAATTTTCTGGCACCAAAATAAATACATCTTTTAATTCCTGTCTCCATAAAGTTTTTGGAAGGCCCCTCGGAGATAAAGGGGAGGATGTGGGGAAGTCATGGTTAAAACTGTCACCGTAACCATTGCTACCATTAAATGAATGTCATTCAGAGAGCAGACCAGAGAGGCCTTGGTCACATTACATAAGCTTTCCGAGCCTCAGTTTCTTCATTTGTGGGTTGGGGATAATGACAAGCACCCTGTAGAGTCATTGTGAGCATTAGAGTTACTGAGTGCACTTTGCCTACCTTGTGCCTGGCACACAGTCGGGACTGAACAAATGGTGGCTGTTATAAAGTATCATAGCAACAGCAGTAATGGTAATGATATAACAGCAATAATGGCTTGTGTATGTGAGAATCTTTGGGGGGTCTTGAACATCTAAACAGTTTCCTCACATACCTAGGTTACGTAAGTCTTGTTGCAAATCTAAAACGTGACAGGTGCCAAAAATGCAATCAGACTCCTACCTTCCCAGTGCTGGCATACTGCAGCATTACTGCTGAACCTGGAAGCCACACAGTGCTGTCCTTAGTCCAGAATCCTCTACTCTCATCTCAGGATTGAGGTCTGCAAGGGTTTCATAAGCCCAGGGTGAAACTATGGGAGAAACCCAAGGTAGTCCTGAGTGATACTTCAGCTCTCGAAGGAATAATCAAAACTAGAAAGCCTTTGGCAGCCATCTGGACAATTCAGGGGCACCGTGTGACTCATTGTGTGGTGATGGGCAAGGACCCAACTTCCTTAACATCCTCATCTATGGAAAAAAAAAAAGAACCATGGAATTCTGACCAAGCTGTTGGCAAGTGCTTCATTGCAAAAAGTTGGTACTCTTGTCTCAAAACAGCTGGGGACGGATCTCTCGCTGCACCACTAACGTCCTGTGTTTACTTCTTCCAGGTCACGGCAACAGCCCAGCAAGCAGTGGGGGCCGCTCCACCCTCTCAGACATCAGGCCCAGTCACTCACTTCCAGAAGGTGTTCATGGAAGAGTTGCAGTTGGGCAGGAAGCTTGGTTCCCAAATCTCACCTCACCAGTACTGAGAAGTCCTTCCAGTGAGTCAGAAGAGCCTCCCCAGGCACATAGTGGCCCCAGCCCTCCCAGCATGGAGAGCATGGGAATGGTATACAGTGTCCCCAGTTCTTGCAATGGACCGGCAGAGTCAACATTCTCCACCTCGTGGAAGGGAGAGGCCTTGACCTACATGACTCCAAGTGCTACCACCCAGAGCAATCAAGTCAATGAAAATGGAAAAAATCCTTCCTTGGGGAAGTTGTGGGTGTCTCTGAACACACTCCCACCTCTGGTTCCTAAGGAGGCTGCTACCCTCTTTGTCACTCGTGATAACCCGACAGGATGCAGTGGGCCAGCTGAGCCCCCTACTCAACAAAGGCAGGTACCAGAAAAACCTTCCAAGATGGGCCTTCTGACCCGTGGTACCTCAAGGCTGGAGACTGGCCCAGGGGTGGGCAGCAGGTTCCGGGAGCGGTCGCTGTCTGTGCCCACAGACTCAGGCACTGCAGATGTGGACTGTGCTGAGGAGCAGAAGGCCCGTGAGGCCTGTGCCCTGCCTTATGCCAGCACGAGTTCTGAGGGCAGCACCAGTGCTGACAACATTGCCTCACTTAGTGCTGAACAGGAGGCCCAGCACAGAAGGCAGAGGTCCAAGAGTATCTCACTCAAGAAGGCCAAAAAGAAGCCTTGTCCACCAACACGCAGTGTCTCGCTGCTCAAAGATGAGCCAGTGCTCTTGTCAGAAGGCGGATCAGCGCTACCCAAGGACCACAGGCCCAGGAGCCTTTGCCTCTCCTTGGAACAAGGACATCACTCATCCCACCCAGATGCTCAGGGCCACCCAGCTGTGCCAACCCTCAAAGATCCAGAAGGTACACCATTCTCCCACCACTGGTATCTTACTGACTGGAAGTCTGGTGACACCTACCAATCCTTGTCCAGCTCCAGCACTGCCACTGGCACCACTGTCATTGAGTGCACCCAAGTTCAGGGCAGCTCAGAATCTCTTGCCTCCCCTTCCACCTCCAGAGCCACTACACCTTCCCAGCTCTCCATTGAGGTGGAGGCAAGGGAGGTATCCTCCCCGGGAAGGCCCACTGGACTGATGTCACCATCCAGTGGATACTCCAGCCAGTCCGAGACACCAACACCCACGGTCTCCATGTCCTTGACCCTGGGCCACTTACCTGCTGCGAGCGGCAGTGTCCGGGTACGTCCAGTGGTACCTGAGAGGAAGTCATCACTGCCCCCGACGTCACCCATGGAGAAAATTTCCAAGTCACGGTTATCGTTTGACCTACCATTGACCTCTTCAGCCAACATAGACCTGTCTGGGATGAGTATCTCCATCCGAAGCAAAACAAAGGTGAGCCGGCATCACTCAGACACAAATTTTGGGGCCAAGCTGGCCCAGAAAACTAGTCCCAACCAGCCAATCATGCCCATGGTTACTCAGTCTGACCTGCGTTCTGTTCGCCTGAGGTCAGTCAGCAAGTCTGAGCCAGAAGATGACATTGAGAGCCCTGACTATGCCGAGGAACCTGGAGCAGAAGAAGTGTTCACTTTGCCAGAGAGAAAGATGAAACCTCCCGTGGCTGAAAAGCCTCCGCTGGCCCGAAGGCCTCCAAGCTTGGTCCACAAGCCACCATCTGTCCCTGAGGAGTACCCACTAACTTCACCTACCTTGGCTATGACCTCCAAGAGCTCAATCCCACACATGAGGCCACATGCCCAAGACAGCCACACGGTGGTGCGGAAGCCAAAGTCCTGCAGCTTCCCTGACGCCAGAAGCCCAGGGGAGCCGACAGCACCTTCATCTCTCATTTTCATGCCTTTCACCAGTCCCTCTGGTGCTTTCTTCTCAGGAACACAGCAGCCTCCCCAGGGAAGTATGGAGGATGAGAGCCCCAAGGTGAGAGCCTTGCCTGAAAGAATTAGCCTCCAGAGCCAGGAAGAAGCTGAGAAAAAGAAAGGCAAGATTCCACCTCCAGTACCAAAAAAGCCCAGCGTGCTGTACCTGCCTCTCGCCTCGCCGATAGCACAAATGGACGCCCACATGGCAGATCCGAGGCTGCCTCTCAGCCCCATCATCACCCTGGAGGAAGATGCCAAGTGTCCTCCCACCAGCGATGAGCTGCAATCACCTGGTAAAAGGACAGCTTCAACGCCGCAAGCTGATGGTGAAAAGGAGGCAAGCCCTCTGGGTTAGTAAACTGTCCGCTGGCTTTTTCTTCCAGTCACGGGGCAGCTGAGGATGAGAGCACAATGCCGGGGACAAAAGCAGACGCCCCAGAATAATTATCCTGACCCTAGAGTGACCAAAGCAGTAGGGGCCACCTCTTGAGGGTTGGGTTACTTTAGAGAGGAAACGCAGGTCATCCCTATTGCCCTTGTGATGGGGAACTGACTAGGGACAAATCTCTAAGACTCAGTCTACCATTGAACCCCTAGTGCTTTAGAGGATTAACTAGAACTGGATTCTGGCACCTTAGAACTTGAGGATCCCATCTACCTAGCTAGGCATGCATCCCCTGCCCTATGCACTACTCCTCCACCTCATAGTACTGCAGTTTTCACTTGTCTCCCTGGATTTAGTTGCAAGCACAGGACTCAGTACTATCTCAGGCTGAGTTCAAGTGCCACGTCAGGCTTGGGGGACTTCTGAAACGATGGAATGTGCTACCAATAGTAGCCTTTCTTCGTGGTTTCCAAAATTTGGCAGCTCCCTCTGGAGCCATAAGACTAAGCTAGTTGGCTGGCGCCACGGCTCAATAGGCTAATCCTCCACCTAGCGTCGGCACACCGGGTTCTAGTCCCGGTCGGGGCGCTGGATTCTGTCCCGGTTGCCCCTCTTCCAGGCCAGCTCTCTGCTGTGGCCCGGGAGTGCAGTGGAGGATGGCCCAAGTGCTTGGGCCCTGCACCCCATGGGAGACCAGGAGAAGCACCTGGCTCCTGCCATCAGATCAACGTGGTACACTGGCCGCGGCGGCCATTGGAGGGTGAACCAACGGCAAAGGAAGACCTTTCTCCCTGTCTCTCTCACTGTCCACTCTGCCTGTCAAAAAAAAAAAAAAAGACTAAGCTAGTTAATGTTTCTCATCTGTTTGTCCCTTGTCTCTTTCTCTTGAAATTGTAGTGGAATACACACCATGTAACATTTACCATTTTAGCTGTTTTTAAGTGTGCAGTTCATTAGTGTTAAATTAACTCGCTTTGGACACGGGCCTTTGACAAAGCAGTGAAGTTGTGGCTTATGACTCCCGCATCCCATATTGGAGTACCTGGCTCTGCTTCTTTTTCAAGCTTCCTGGTAATGCATACTTCTGGGAGGCAGCACATGATGACTCATGTACTTAGGTCACTGACACCTGTGTGGGACACCCAGATTGAGCTCCTGGATCCTCGCTTCAGCCTGGCCCAGCTCTGGCTGTTGTGCACATTTGGGCAGTGAAAGAGATGACAATCTCTTGATCTCTGTCTCTGTCCCTCTGACTTTCAAAAAGGAAAATAAACAAGTAAAGTTTTTTAAAAACAAACCTTTTCTCTTAAAAAAAAATACATTCATATTGTTAAACAGCCCATCTCCAGATTCCTTGCACCTTGAAGAACTCACCAAACAGGCCCCACTTCTCCTCCCCCAGCCCCTTGGTAACCACTGTTCTGTCTGTCTCTATGAATTTAACTACTTTACAAACCTCACATAAGATGGACTCATACAATATTTATGTTTTTCTGCCTGGTTTATTTCATTTAGCTTAATATTTTTCCAGGTTCATCCATGTTTCTTATCATTTTGTGAACCCTTAACACCAAGTGTCAAAGCCCCTTGACTTTCTTTAAGCTGATTTAGACTTTCCACATAAGTAAACTAAAACAAGCAAGCCAATCAAAGCCACAGGTGATTTTGGAATATGCTTCCTCAGACTCCACAGGCTCCCTCTGAGATTCAGACATGTCCCACTCTCACCTACTGGGTGAGCATTGTTGCTTTAGTACTCTCAGCTGCTTGATTTCTTAAATTCTTATTTATTTTTATCCTTATTTGTAAGGTAAGGAGAAAGACACAGTGCGGGGGAGGGAGAGAGTGAGAGAGAGATCTTCCATCCTCCAATCTGCTCCCCAAATGCCCACAACAGTCAGGGCTGGGCCAGGCTTAAAGCCAGGAGCCTGGAACTCAATTCGGGACTCCCAAGTGGGTGGCTGGGACCCAAGTCCTTGAGCCATCACCTGCTGCCTCCCAGGGCATGAATTAGCAGGAAGCTATAATTGGAAATAGAGCTGGTACTCAAATTCAGGCACTCCAGAGTGGCTGCAGTGTTTCAAACACTGCACCAAATGTCTGCCCTGCCCCTGATTTTTTTTTAATGATATATTTAAAATACAAAAATTTCTCGGCCACCTGTTGTCATCAGAGATATGAGAACAGGAACCCAGGCTGATCTTCACCACCCCCTCCACCCTAGCCTAATCACTCTGGATTTCATGTTTCTCCCCTGCAAAATGGAGACGTTACACATCTCCGCCCTGCTACCCTTCCAGAATTGCCTTGAACATTACATGAAATAACATGTGAGGATATGCTTTGTCCCATCCATTGCAGTCAAAATCGTTCCTTCTGGTTCTTTTGCCTAGGGCGTTCCATAGAACCAAGCATGGAAGAAAAAAGTTTAATCAGTGAGAAAACAGCCGAGTGGATTGCAGAGGACGATGATGATGTGTTTGTGGCTTCACGCACGACTGAAGATTTATTTACTGTGATACACAGGTCTGGAACAGTTTCTTTACTTCTCTCTGCAATTGCCTTCCCCTTTTCTGCTTCAAGAAAAACTGCTACCTCTAAGCAGCCCCTAAAATTGCAACTGGAGACTAAGTTCAGATACCCGCCTATGTGAGCACAGTCTGTGGCCTCACATCTCAAATTCACTGACATCTTTGGGTGAAGTGGAGGAGGGGAGGGGAGGGGAGGACCAGGTGCCAAGTGAGAGGCCCCTCGTCTCCTAGCAACCGCTTGGCCTATTGTGGCTCCATCTGCTCTCACAGCTCTGTCTACAGTCAGAGACATTTAACCCTTCACAGATTCCTTGTGCAAAAAAAAATCCCAACAAGAGGTGATGTGGGTCAGTGTATTGAAGCAGGAACTTAAGCCAAGGGGGACAAGTTGGGGACCCAGTTAATGGACAGGAGCACAAGGCAGGGACTCGTTGACAAGAAAACTGTAAAGAGTCCAGTTATTGGAGCTGGAGCACCAGTTCAGAACAGGATCATCCCCCAGGGTGTCCTGATTCAGTCGCTAGCCTGACTCCTTAAATTTGTCCTTGGCCCCAGAACCTGCGTGAGACAACCTTGCAGGCATAAGTCAAAGGGCTCCAGCTTTGGGTGGGCATTGAAAAGATTGCAGGAGCAGGGGGCCCAACAACAGATTCTCAGGACTTAGAGGTGAGAGACAAAGCTACTCACTAGGACTACTTGCAAGGCTGCTGCCTGCAGACTCTCAGTTCACATTCTGTGAAGCGTTGGTACATGTCCACTGCATGGATTCACTCCAAGCAAACTTTCTCTTATTTAGGTCCAAAAGAAAGCTGCTTGGTTGGAAGGAGCCAGGTGAGGCCTTTGCTGGCAGCAGACCGAGCCCCCACTCACCAATAAAGAACACAGCTGATTCTCCCATCAGTGAGCCTGCTGCCGCCGCGGGGCCAAACAACAGTGCCAACCTAGATGCTGGCAGAAATGATGATTTCAAGGCCTTGCTCCAAAAGAAGGGAAGTAAGGCAACTCCACGGTCCCGCCCCTCCGCAGCTGAACTGCTGAAGACCACTAACCCACTGGCTCGGAGAATTATTGCACAATTTTCAAAAGACTATGAAACCACTGATAACCCCAGCACCTAGGCCCTGAGTTCAACAAGCAGGGTATACTCACTAAACTTGAGTAGAGATGGGGAAGAGAAAGGGTTTTCAAAAGCAACCATGGACATAGCAAAAGAGCCTCCATTTCTTTTACATTAGCTCACACCCTGGACAGCAGGAGAAAGGCCACTTCATCTACAGCTGACATCAGCAGGCACCTGAATCCATCTGCAGACATTTTGCGTTTTCGTACTTACAATCTTGCCATGACTGACTACCACATTTCTTCTTTTCCCTCCCAGTGGTGTGCACTATCTAAGAAAAAAATTCTCTATGCGAGGGCACATGTGCCACCTTTTTGAATAATGAATGACCCACCTGCTCCAACTTTGACTCTGGTGTGAGAATATTGGAGGCTGCCTAAACCCGGGGAGCAGAAGGTGCCATTGCTGATTATTCACTTTCCTGGAGGAAGCCTTGATGGTCCAGTGTGGAGATTCAGACAGCATCTGATGCCTCCTCAACCACAGTTTACTCCCCAGTGAGGTGTGCAGCGCAGGTGCACACTTATTTCGGCATAGGGTGGATTGGTTGGCTTTTGTGGTGCAAGATGTGAATGTGAATCTGTCCTAAAACATCATGCCTTTTTCAGTTTGATTGTCTACACGGAGATCAGGGTGATGAATTTTAATAAACACATACATGGCACCCCCCCTTTAGATAAGAAAAGTCAGGACTGGGTTGCATTGGATGAACCAAGCTCAGCCAACAAAGAAGGCAACCATTTGTCCACTCAGATCTATCCACGGTAACCAGTACATCCGTCTTGAGACCCTTCAAGAATGTCTGTCAAGAATGATAGCCAGGATCTGTGCCCAGCTCATGCTGCATTTTAAGAACTCTCATTTCATTTGCATATAATATTAATTACAGGAAGTGATTAGCTAAAGAAACAGCATCATCAAAGACTCAAGGAGAAAAGAAAGTAAGTGCATGCTGCCCCATGCCATTCTGTTCCATTCACAGTTGGTGGCTGATTTGATTTTGTTTGAAGGAAGTCTGACTCTGTTCCAAAAACCAAGAACGTATAGACTAAAAGGAACTATCCAAAGTCTAAAAGACAGCCTTGCAAGTTGCTATGGCCCAAAACATGGAAAAAGGGCTACTTTTTCCCTTTTGGTTCTGCATTTTGACCAGGTTTCAGTCAAGCATGCTGGCAGAGAGTAAGAACTCGGGTAGATGGGATGCCAAAAGAGCTCCAGAACAATCACCCTCCCTCTCCCAGGCTTATAGGCACCAAATATTCTTGTCAACTCAATTTTCTAAGCAGAGCAAGAGCAGTGATTCCTTTGATTTTCATATATCTGATTTCTAGGAGGTTAGAGACAAGAAGACCAGTGACAGGAAGTTAATTGTCTACTGTTTCCCAAGAACTCAGAGAAAAGTCAAATGAAATTAGATCCTGCTTCATAATGAGTGATCCCCAACTCCTTCCTCCTTCGCCCTGCAGCTGATAGATTCATTGTTCAAGCACCTGGAGGATGCAGTAAGAGTTCCAGAGACAAGTAGATCTCAATTTTGATAGGTCACACTCTTCACCAATGAGAAGCAAGCTCAACTGCCCACACTCCAGCTGGACAGAGCAGCTGAAAAACCATGCTAGGAAGACTTGAGCCTCTCACACAGAAGCCCCAGGGCTGTCCTGGGTTGGTACAGTTCTGAATTCTGGACTCCTGGGTATATATAGGCCAGGCCCACCAGCTCCCTTGCAATCAGTACTTCCCTCTGATTTAGATAGAAGCCACTTAAAAGAATAAAGAGCTAGAATAAGCCCAACTGCTTTTGAAAGTATTAGAGCTATTTGGTTTGAAGGTATTACATTTCAGGGGTTTTCCTGAAATAAAACAAATAATTTCTGGCTTACTTTGTATATGAATGCCACACTTGTCTGCCCTGAACTCAGAATTCTAAAAGATGGAAACATTTTCCTAGAACGGAAATGAGGGAATGTTTGTGATTTTTGCCTGGCAAAAGTGAAAGCTGTCAGGGCCTGCTCCTTGAGAACCATTTTGAATAGCTGAACTCTACATCCGAGTATGGAATTCACATAATACAAGACTTGTCACTTCTGCTGAATTTTCTGGATGCTTTTTGTTGGCTACTTCTAATGGGTTTTGCCTCTCCCCTCACTTTGCTACCTCTGGAGGTTTTCCCAAAAGATTCTAAAGCTGAATACCCAGACACCTTTATGGTTTTCAATGACCTTGATTCCTGTTTTCATTGACAATAGTCTGTAAACCTAAAACTTTTAAAAACATTTTTTGCATCATCAGTATGGCCCCCAAATGCCTCATAGTGTTCCCATTAGCACAAGAGGATTTGTGGCAGAAATTGTATAGCAAGCGATAACATTCAAGACTGGAAATATTAATATTTTACAACAGGTGGACCCAGCCCCAAATAACCAAAATCTAAGAGTTCTATCCAATGTTGATTAACATAACATCAAGCATCTTCCCTATACCCAACATTCAACCGCTCATCTACCCTTGATTATCATAGCACCAACTCTCTCTCCCACCCAGGCACTTCCAACAATGTTTGCTGCCTTGTGCATCTACTCTGCCAAAACTGGAGAAGACAGGCTGAAGATCCCTCTCTAGAAGGTTTTCAGAGAAGCTACTACCATTATTGCTAGTATAAATAATACTGATTAAAATTTTTAAAGGTGAAATATAGAAGAGATATGAGTAAAATGAAGTTGACCTCAGGAGTCAGTTTCCACTTCAAGTCATTCCTGGCCCTGTTTTTTCCCTCTGATTACAACCAGTAGCAGCAGGTGGCTCTGCTAAGCTGACTTCAGTCAAGGCAGGAGTAGAGGGAGCTATCCCCAAGAAGCAAGGTTTATCAGTATCTAAGGATGCTTTGCACGTGATGGGTACTGGTTTCCCAACTGGTTCAAATGTGAAGGGTAGAGAGCAAGTGTCGCTGGTGTCTCCTCTCCTTTGCCTACACTACTATGCCTGCCTTGGCCTCCTGCCTGGGCCTCCTACCTAGTCCCAACTTGTCCCTCAGCCCCAACTACCATGAACTGCATCCCTAAGCCAACAGCTTGCCCCAGAAGGAGGCAAGACATAGGGCAGCAAATAGTTCATGTTAGCTTCAGCACCACGGATTGACCAGCTGTGTCGATGTTAACTAACTAGACAACACAGGTCCAATGGTGATCTCGCTGTACCTTTCAGTCTGAGCAGATCTTCCTAAGCATTTGCCCCTTCCTCACACCTGAAGCAGTCAGGAAAAACATGAGTTCATGGTTACTTCTCTGTTCCTCACTGGTCCAGTCTTCCATTATCGCCAAGTCTGTGACACAGTGGCAAGCTTTCCCTTGAATTTGATTTTCCAGGGCCAGGACTAGGGCAAGGTGAGCAAGGCACTTAGGTGCCAAAGTTAAGGAAGTGCCCACTCTCAGAGCTGTGCAAGTGCCTTACCCTCGTCCCGGCCCTATGGTTTGCACTCTGTAAAGTTATATCAGTTTATCTTTTTCCTATGAACAAGTATGGCTCTTCTGATTTGGGAGGGTAACTCCCTCTCTGTTGTTGCACCAAATGCTTTATTGCTATCTATTTTTCCATTGCTAGAAACCATTGTATGCCTACACATTAAAGAATCTTCAATATTATCAGAAAACATATTTGATTTCTAAGTCACCTGCTCCAAGTGGCAAGTTAGAACCCCTTTCAGGGCTGTCACTGCCATCCGTTGTCTCCTCTTTCCACTCCATTCCTCCTAAACTTCACTTCCCAGCACCAAGTCTCCTCAGTGCCTCCTACTCTGTTCTCCTCCTATCTTAAAAAATGTTCTCAGGAAAGGGATAAATTCACTGACTTTGAGATTATAAGGCTTAATGCTACCTCTTTTGAGGATCACTTGCATTTTAACAGGGAAAAAGCCTTAAGCCAAAGGAATGAAGTTCTATTTGCAGAATGTTAGGCATCACCTAGTTGTAGAAGTGTCTTTTTCACCATGGAAAGGCCAAAATTCCCTGACAGCTAACTCCAGAATATAGAAAATAACTTAAACTCCTAGAAGCATTTTTGTTAATAGCTGATGGTCAATTTCGCTATCCTGATACTCAGTGCTATTCAATATGGTTACTACGAAGGGATTCTCAGAAATGGCAACGAAAAGCCACTGAGAAGGCCTAGATCATCATATTGTACATTAACATTTTTTACACCAATGGGACAATACTACTTACCATTTGAGTAAAATAACACAAGGATTTAAAGAGTTTGTGAAAATATGTCCTGTTTGTGAAAGGTGAAACTGTCCAATCCATGTCAGTTGTTTGGTGTTGGTGGTGATTATTAAATTTATCAGAGGTACAACTTTACTAAACATAAGCCTCTGCTCCCCCCTTCCTTTACCTCTGTTATGTGCTATCACTTCAGCTTGGTGTGAGAGTGAGAGCCCTATCTATACCAGTGCATCCAGTTCTTCCAAAGCCTTTGCATGTACTTCAGCTATGAATGATGAAGATATTGGGGATTTGAAGGGATGAGCGAGAAAGAGGTGCAAAGAAGTGCCTTTGTTAAAGGGCAGCAAAAAGTATAATGATTTAAGCAATGATATGAAATAAGAGAAGTTTTAGAATACTTTGAAATAGATTTATAGAGGTCTGCAGTAGTAAATGATTATAGGCCCATATTTGGGGTGTTTTAATAAGTTTAGCAAAAAAAAGAAATTTGCATGAGAATGGGTTATATCAGATAGATATATACTTTTGTTCAGTAATGCCCAAAATCTAGACCAGTGATTTACAAAGTGTGGTCCCAGGACCAGCAACAGCAGCATCCTTGGAGAGACAGAGTGTGTGTGTGTGTGTGTGTGTGTGTGTGCCGGTGATGTCACTCCTAGATCACCTCAGTCACGATTGTCCAACTGATTTGCACATTTCCAGTCATTTCAGCTGTCATTACAATGATCATCAGTCTCTGGCCAAGACATGCATACTGTCACCTTGGTTAGCCGCATGTTTGTTTGGTGTTAAAAAATTATCAAATTGAATCAACTATGTACCCAATCTACAAAACCTTTAATTTGACTCAACTAGCATATCTGGTCACTTTTGGGTTAAGAAAAATAATTTTTAACTCACAAATGAAAAAGGAGAAGACATTAGGTTTACCTGGCATTGCCAATTTTGAAATACCTGTCTTCACCATGGTGACTGTTCTCTAGGAGGTATATACAGAAGTATATTTGATTTTAAGATTTTGCCTAAATAGTGGAATTTGATAACAATGACCTGCAAAACAAAACCTGAACCAAAACAACCAGTTAACCCCTCTCAGCCTCTTTGCAATGTCAAGCTTTATAGAAATGTATTCCTTATCTGGTCTTAAGCTTTTTTAATGTACAACTTTATAAAATGTTATGCATGCAAGCACAGCATTGTGTTCATTGTATGGTCACCTCAAACTCATTCCTTCCTCCGTATGTATGATGGTAAAGAAATATCAATATGTATGTTCTGAAGTCTCCTGATCAATTGTAAATTACAAACATTTTGATTAATTTTTAAATGAGATATATTTACTCTGGCTAGTAGTTAAAATTTTATTCTTTTTATTATATTTCATTGCTACTATTTTCTACTGACTCCAAAGTTTACTTTGGGGAATATTTCTTATTTCTAGAATGTTCTATTTATCTTATTTCTATATTTATCTGTAGTCACAGGATGTTAGTGCTGAAAGAGACCAGCCTCCCTCATTTCACGGATGAGGAAATTGGGGCCCAGAGGGTCAGATAACTTAAATAAGGTCACACAGTGCGCCAGTTGAAGGCCCAGCCTGAGTTCTGGGTCTCCTGCCTTTGGACCCAGTGTTTGTTCACTGAAAGCACTACATTTATAGAAGCCCACAGCTGGTTTCTGCTCTTATGACACATTCCCAGGTATTTCAGTGAACTAGCATATCTGATTTAAGGAAAAAATTGCTCAAGAATTCTTTAATTCATGAATCCAAAGACAAATCTGAGTTTCAGCTTAGAAGCATTCATTTCCCTCCATATTGAATGTTTACATATATACCCTACCTGTGCAATGGGTGTTTTCCCTAAAAGTTGCATACAAATGAATTTTAGGCCAAATTCCATTTTTAGAAGAGAAGTTTCCTATGTAAGAAATCGTCTGGTGACTTCTTTTGAAAAAAACAGGATTCCTCTTGTCCTTGTCCCTTAATGTCTCCTCTTATTTTTTTTCAGTGTGGACTTTTTTATTTGGTAGCTATTTAAAGTAGGGCCAACCAAATTAGCTTTCCTAGAATCTACTTTAACATTCCCTTCTTAATTCTTATGGAAATTTTTCAGACTGTTAAATGCTCATGAGATACTCAATTGTGTTCTAGAACTTTCCCCAGCTTGATATTTTGTCAGTCCCTGGGCTCAAACTCCACCTCCATCTTAGCAAACAACAACAGAATTCCCTAGTAAGTACTAAGTTCTGTATGCAGTCTGTTTTCCAGAACATGTTTTGCCTACTGCTCCTTAGTGTGGATCTCTCTTTGGCTATCCCAGGTCTCCTTGCTTAGTTCATGCCCACCTCACTGTTCTGTGGAGCTGCAGGCAATGCACCTTTAGGGCTATGCTGCATATACTGAGTCATATTTCTGATCATGTCCATTGTTCCCTTGTTTGTCCTGGACTGCCTCTGATTTCCCCTTTCAAAGATGCTCAGAGACGGCTCACTAGGCTAATCCTCCGCCTAGCGGCGCCGGCACACCGGGTTCTAGTCCCGGTCGGGGCGCCGGATTCTGTCCCGGTTGCCCCTCTTCCAGGCCAGCCCTCTGCTGTGGCCAGGGAGTGCAGTGGAGGATGGCCCAGGTGCTTGGGCCCTGCACCCCATGGGAGACCAGGAAAAGCACCTGGATCCTGGCTCCTGCCATCGGATCAGCGCGGTGCGCCGGCCGCAGCGCGCCGGCCGCGGCGGCCATTGGAGGGTGAACCAACGGCAAAGGAAGACCTTTCTCTCTGTCTCTCTCTCACTGTCCACTCTGCCTGTCAAAAAAAAAAAAAAAAAAAAAAAGATGCTCAGAGACTTCTCACCAGAGATTTAGTAGGATTTTCCCCTGTCATCTAGACCAGAGATTGACAGTCCCTTTCCACAAAGGGCCAGACGTGAACTATTTTAGGCATCTGTAGCACACTTTTCTTTGTTGTTGCTGTTTGCTTGTTCATTTGTTTTATCATCCTTTGAAGATGTATAACCCCATTCTTAGCTCACAGGCCATGCAAAGCCTCAGACTGGATTTGACCACTTCTCATAGTTGTCTGCTCCCTGATCCAGATTGTCTTCTGGCGCAGACATTTCTGGGACCTGCCTCATGTCATAACTGGGTTTGTGGCTCCTGCCCTCCCAGTGAATGCACTGTCAGGCCAGGCTGACTGCACAGTGGCAGGTGGAGAGCAGCTGCATATGCCAACTATTCCTCTTCAATAGGATGTGTTTTGTGTTTCTCCCCACCCCACCCCACCCCCCGCCCTGGCTACCTCAATGTAGAAACCCTCGTTCTTTTCTCTGGACATGTTCTTGTTACTCAGTGTATCTCTGCTTCCCTGAATTTGGGGTAAGCTGATAGGAAAGAAAAGATTTCTGAGTTTCTTTACTTCTTTTGTCCCGTCATTGCTCCCCCAAAACTGTGGTTGGGGACCTCCAACATGTGCCACCCTGTGCTGTCCAAATACTGTCATTGTAAGTTTAGGGTAGTTAGTGGCAAGCCTGGTGGCCCAGGCCACAGGATTCCACTCCAGCCTATGATTTCCTAGGGAAATCACCAGCTTTCTTGTTTCTAAAAGCTGGTTTTAGAATGTCTGTGTCCATTTGTCCAGTTTATGTCCATTTTCTAATGCAGTTTGAACCTATTCTAAACAGAGCACTCAGCCCTAGCAAGAAAATCAATAAGGTGCAAAAGATATTCTGTACCTACAGATTTTCCCTGCTTCCTGGGCCCCCAGCCCTTGCAATGGGCTCCTTGGGATGCCCCATACAACACCACAACCAGCAGGCATTTCAGCACACATCTCTTCAGGTTTTCCAAACCTCTAAAAAGATTCTCTAAAGCTTCTTCACATGTCTCTCCACCCTGCTCCTATCTCCACCCCTCTTGCTTGGAATTCTAAAGCTCACATTCATATTTTCACACTCACTAGTGCAAACGATGGGGGATACATGTGGATGAGAAGATGTGTGCCTTGTGTGTGTGAATGTGGTTTCTCTACCAGGACTGTGAGAGCCACATCCACTGAGTTTCTCTCTCTCTCTCTCCCTCTCTCTCTCTCTCTCTCTCTCTCTCTCACACACACACACACACACACACACACACTATCCAGTGCTGTCATTAGCCCTTTGGGCCAGGGCCAGACCTGATGGGATTGGTCCAGGAGAAGGGAATGGTATGGGCTCCTGAGGCCTTCTTTCCACTGGCTTGCCTTGGCTTTTCCCCAGTGTGCCATTTGAAGAACCTCCTTTGTGATGGCTCTGGACAGGCTGACATACAGAGATGAGGCCTTTAATTTGTTGTGAATTCTACCCTCCCATATAGTTCTCCAGCTGCAGCTGTTGCTAGCACAGCAAATTGTTTCTTAGGACCTATAGCTTGATTTCTGTCATTTGAGCCCAGGGATCCACTCACTGAAATCTAAATTTTAAAAAGTTAGAGACACAAGTAACATTCAGGATTTCCCTGGTAGAAAAGCATGTGTGAAACAGTTCCCTTCCGCCTCCTGTTTAGGATTTCCAGAATTAAGAAGGGAAACTGGGTTTGTGCTGTGGACCCCAAAGCAGCCGAAGTCCTCTACTTGCCAAAAAACAAAATGAGGAATGAGGATCAGCCAGTCTTACTGCACAGAGTCAGGGACTGGACTTTTGTTAAGTTAGCACTTATCACTCAGTGCTTGCTGAGTGCCAACAATGCACTTAAGAAAAATAAGGGAGACAGGAATGTACAGACCAAGATCCTAAGCTGGAAGGCAGAGATAAGGCCATTCCCCCAGTGATGAGAATGTGTCCCTGGATGAAAACATTCAAGAGGAAACAGAAACTAGGAAAGATTACAATCCTGCTCATCTGAGGATTTCAACACAAAATGGGAGGGAGCCCTCTGTGGAATGATATTTCAAAGGATTTTTCTTGTCTTTCTTTTTTTTGAAAAAACAAAAAAGCATTCCTTACTGGCTTACTACCAGCAATTGAACTGTACCCTTTATATAGCTAGAGCTGTTTGTGTCTTCTTAAAATAAACTTTTTCGGTTAAAATCATTTTCAGCTTCACTCTCTGGTTTTCACTGTAGCAATGATGACTTTCTTCAGACACTAAACTCAGTTTGTGAGTGTGTTTTACCAGCTGCACAAGTACTGGCCTCACACACATTGGATTCTGATGCTCACAACCCCCTGAGAGACCCAAACAGATATGCAGGGGTCTTTCAAAAGTTCACAGATATGCAGGGTCTTTCAAAAGTTCACAGATATGCAGGGTCTTTCAAAAGTTCACAGAAAATGTATAATATGAAGAACTTATGCATGGATTTTTTAATGGCACCAAGATAAAATTATCTTTTCATTCCATTTCCCAAGGACTTTTTGAAATGCCCTTGTGCATGACTCACAATATCTTGCAAAAACCCAACTTACAGAACTAGGTCCCTAAGACATCTGGGCAGATAACCCACATTCAAAGACTTCATTTCAGGGATTCCAGTTTGGCTGCTCAAGGAGCCAGTGAGAGCCTGGGGAAGTAGATGGTGATCACCAGGATCAGGGGTGGGGTGGGAGGGGAGAGGTGGTTTTAACAAGTACCCTTCTCTGGCTCAATAACACCACCTAGCAGGGGCGAACCGAAATGAGTCTGGGCTGGGAGCAAAAACAAATGCAGACCAGATGTGGCAGGGTCACTCTACCCCTCAAAAAAAGGTGTGGCTCCACCATACTGATGGTAATAGCTATATTCAAGAGTCAACTCCCATCTAAAAGGAGCAACCAAGACAGGTCCTTGCAGCCCATACCTGTGTCTCCCCAGACCTCAGTACTAACTCATGTGCCCTGACAGGATTCAGATGCTCTTCCAAAATGACACAGCAGAACTGGAAACAAACCAGAAAGTGTACAAGAGAAAGGAGAGGGGCCATGGCTACTCTCAGAAAATAGCAGGTGTTGAGAAGGAAGATGAAATTCAGAAGGAGGCTGGCTTGAGGTTGGCCTCATGGCAGGCAGTGCCTTGGTGGAATCATACAGTTAAAGGTCCGGCGTTCACCCCAGCAGGTTCAGAACTTCCACTCTGCCATAAATTGGTGATGGCTTTAGGGACTGACCCACAATAACCAAACTCACAAAAGTCAGGTCCTGGTATTTTAGTCAAAGAGAGAGAGTATACCTTTTTTTTTCTTTTTTCAAAAAAAGAAGATTTATTTTAAAGAGAGAGGTAGAGCCAGAGAGAGAGAGAGAGAGAGGTCTTCCATCCACTGGTTCACTCCCCAAATGGCCGCAATGGCCAGAGCTGAGCTGATCTGAAGCCAGGAGCTTCTTCCGGGTCTCCCATGTGGGTGCAGGGGCCCAAGGACTTGGGCCATCCTCCACTGCTTTCCCAGGCCATAGCAGAGAGATGGATTGGAAGTGGAGCAGCAGGGACTTGAACCGGCGCCCATATGGGATGCCAGACTAGCAGTCTGGAGCTTTAACAGTGCCACAGCGCTGGCCAGAGAGTGCACCTTTCAAGCAAATATCACAGACAGGAGGCCTGCAGGTTAAATTGAACTCACTTGCATCTTCTGGAGTGCACAGTGTGATTTGTCTTTTTTTTTTTTTTTTAAGTTTAGAAGGGGCACAATTTGTCCAATTGACGTAGTTCCCTTCCACTCCCTGTTGCACTTAACCCAACTAGCTTCATTCCCTTATCCAAGAACACTTTTTAAAAAAGATTTATTTATTTGCACGGCAGAGTTACAGAGAGGGGGGGAGTGCACACTTTTAAAAGTTCATGAAAGGAGCCGGCACCGCGGCTCACTAGGCTAATCCTCCACCTAGCGGCGCCGGCACACCGGGTTCTAGTCCCGGTTGGGGCGCTGGATTCTGTCCCAGTTGCCCCTCTTCCAGGCCAGCTCTCTGCTGTGGCCTGGGAGTGCAGTGGAGGATGGCCCAAGTCCTTGGGCCCTGCACCCCATGGGAGACCAGAAGTACCTGGCTCCTGCCTTTGGATCAGCGCAGTGCGCCGGCCACAGCACGCCAGCCGTGGCGGCCATTGGAGGGTGAACCAACGGCAAAGGAAGACCTTTCTCTCTGTCTCTCTCTCTCACTGTCCACTCTGCCTGTCAAAAAAAAAAAAAAAAAACTTCATGAAAGGGGCCAGACCACCAGTTCAAATTCCTGCTGCTCCACTTCCAATCCAGCTCGCTGCTAAAGCACCTGGGAAAGCAGCAGAAGATGGCCCAGGTGCTTTGGCCCTTGTGGGAGACCCAGAAGAAGCTCCTGGCTCCTGGCTTCAGACCCGTTCAGTCCCAGCCATTGCAGCCATTCAGATCCACCCAGCCGCAGCCTTCACAGCCATTTGGGGAGTGAACCAGCAGATAGAAGATTCCCCACCCCTCCTCTCTCTCTCTCCCTGCCCCGCCCCCATCTCTCTGTTGCTCTGCCTTTCAGATAAAAAGTTCACGAAGGGGGCTGCCATTGTGACACAGCTGGTTAAGCGGCTGCTTGCAATGCTGGCATCCCACTGGAGTCCTTGACTGCTCCACTTCTGACCCAGCTCCCTACAAATACAACTGGGAAAGCAGCAGAAGATGGCCCAGGTGCTTGAGGCCCCTGCACCCACGTGGGAGACCCAATGAAGCTCCTGGCTTTGGCCTGGCCCAGCCCTGGCCATTGTGGCCATTTGGGGAGTGAACCAACAGATGGAAGACTGCTCTCTCCTCCTCTTCCTCTTCCTCCTCCTCCTCCTCTCCCTCTCCCTCTGTAACTCTGCCTTTCAAACTAAGCAAAACAAAAATAAATAAATAAAAGTTCATGAAAAAATATAATTAAAAAACACATTTATTTTTTACTTTTTATCTTAATATTATTTGAAGGCCAGAGTGATTGAGACAAACGGGAAAAGATCTTCCATCTGCAATAGCTAGGGCAGGCCAGGCCAATGCTGGGAGCAAGAAACTCAATTCAGGTCTCCCACACTGCCGGCAGACACCTGAATGTGCCATCACCTGCTTCCTCCCAGGGTGCACATTAGCAGAAAGCTAGACAAGGAGTAGAGAGAGCTAGAATTCGAACCCAGGGACTCTCATATGGGCGTCCAGCATCCCAGGTGTCATCTTAACTGCTGTGTCTAGCATCCACCCCAATCAGTTCATTTTGTTGCAAAGAAAAAAAGAGAAACATCTTGAAATCCAAGCATAATTTTTTTTAAATAATACTCATATTCTATGAACTTTTTGAGTATCCCTCTTATTCCTGGTCAAGCCCCTGAAGGCATTTGAATTTGTGAGGTTTACATTAAGCTGATGTTGCAGGCTGAGCTCCCTGGGAAGCAAACTCTGAGACAGAGTTTACTGTGTGAAATGTTGGCTGTGGAATTCCTTAGGGAGCAACAGCTGTGAGAAGGAAGGGGCAGGACAGGATCAGGCAGGAGATGAAAGCAGCATACGGGCACAGCAAAGCTTCAGCCCACTCAATGGCGGGCTCTGGCATTCAGATAATCCATCAGTTGTCCTGTGCTGGCCACAGAGGGCATGACCTTGAGTGAGGTGCCTCTCTGGATCTGAGGCAATTCCTGAAGGAGCTGATAGCTGAAGAAGATTCTTTGCTGGCAGCACTCCCTCCCAGCAGCTGGACAACAAGCCCTCCTTTGAGGTGGGTGTGGGCCACACAGTTCTGTGTCTGCCACTGATATCTGTTTGCCAGGAACAGTGCAATGTAAGCACTTACAAATTCTTGTTTTCCTGTTCCCCTTTTTATAGACATCACCAGTTCCTTACTTCAGGCCAAGTACACTTCCTTGATTAGGTTTATAGTTTTCTTAAATTGTAGTCGCCATCTTGGGACATATGCTGGTAACCTTAATTGGACCTCAGTGTTTCATAGGCCTCATTAGTACCCATTAACAAACCCTCTCCAAGGACATGCCATGTCACATACACAAATGTCTAAATGGACCCATCATAAAACTCCATGAGTCAAGGCCGGCGCCGCGGCTCACTAGGCTAATCCTCCACCTTGCGGCGCCAGCACACCAGGTTCTAGTCCCAGTCGGGGCACCGGATTCGGATTCTGTCCCGGTTGCCCCTCTTCCAGGCCAGCTCTCTGCTGTGGCCAGGGAGTGCAGTGGAGGATGGCCCAAGTCCTTGGGCCCTGCACCCCATGGGAGACCAGGAGAAGTACCTGGCTCCTGCCATCGGATCAGTGCAGTGCACCGGCTGCAGCACGCCGGCAGCAGAGGCCATTGGAGGGTGAACCAACGGCAAAGGAAAACCTTTCTCTCTGTCTCTCTCTCTCTCACTGTCCACTATGCCTGCCAAAAAAAAAAAAGAAAGAAAGAAAGAAAAAAACACTCCATGAGTCAAATGGCTGTAGCATTTACCAAATGCCTACAATGGGCCAGGCATCGTGTGTTCCTCCATTCACTTTTTCTTCCATTCAACAGATGATGAGCTCCAATACATAACTGGGTGGAACACTGGGTGCCGAGGGTACAGTGGTGGATGGCACAGACAACAGGTCTGCCCTCATGGAGTTTATCATCCAGTGGGACCAGCCCTGAGAATGTCCCTGTTCCTCAGGAGTCGCCACTGTAGCTATGAACTCCTCTGGTCATCTCTTGCCTCTCACCATTCAATCCATACTGCCCTAAGCATCTACTCTGCTGCCCAATCTTCCATGGTCCATTTCCTTCTCATCCTTTCCAACTGTGCCCACCAGAATCCCCATTACAGGCATTAAGAAACAGAAAGGCCCCCTTGAGAACTTCTCTGAGACTTGGATCTCTCCTATGAATTCCACTTACCCTTGTAGGACTCTCCGCAGAGACATTTTCCTTCTCCAGCTATTTCTGCATTTGGAGATGAAATGGTCCCCTTCTATACCTCCACTGTATCTTCCAGACTGAAGGCTGCACCTCCCTCTTCATTCTTTCTCTACACTCCTCATCTTGCAAAATCCAGATCTCTTCAACATTTATCTAGACAATTTAGACCATATCCCTGGCTTCTCATTTCTTTGGCCTGACACTCACTCTTGAGTCCCCAGTGGACCTTGTTATGTTCAGAACTGCTGTG